CTACATTGGTCTCGCTTGAACTCCTTCATAAGGGTTCCGAAGCGTGTTCTAAGAGCGACTCCAGCCTTGTCTACTCCGAAGTCAGGGTCAGCGCCGCATTGAAAGGCGAAGTCCTCGAACACTTTCATTATTCCGTTGGATGTGCCTACGGGAGCGCGCCAAGGCCGGAATGCATTTACAGCACGCAAGAGAACCACGACGTCAACCGCTGCGAACTTCTTTCGGATGGCATGGCGGAGCTGCTTCTTTTCGGCGCTTGATGGTATACTCTCATTGATAAAGGCGTCCACCATGGAGTGTTGACTCATGCTGCAGCTAAGAATTCTCTACGAAAGAAACTTCGAGTGAATTCTTGAAACGAACTGTATTTTTGTCCGTATCTCTAACCAAAAAGAACCGAAATATCTGTTTGAGAGTTTGTTTTCAGATTACATAGAACGTAGGTGTAGCGTTTGAAACTGAAACTAATATCGTCTCCGAAAGTTCTCTTAATTAATACTATGTACGTAAGCAAGTTAGAATACCCATTTAAGTATTGTCAAAATGCCCATTTGAATTGGACTCGGGACCGCCATCATCTCGCACAACATCTCCGTACGCGGGTCGGTTGTAAAAGCTTCCCGCACGTCCGTAGTGAAGTCTGTTGTGAGCTCGTTAAGATTATCCATACTAGCCCGTCGTGAACGCGTCCAGCATGTCCGTACTCGTATTCGTCGTGGACTAAGTCCGCATGTTCACACTCGATTCTGTCCTGAATCCGTTCAACATGTCCGTATTCGAATTCGTCGCGATCGTGAGCCCATCCTCAATGCCATCACTCGAGTCCGTTGTGGAGTCAGCCTGCATTTCTGGGCTCGTGTCCGCCGCGGCTAGTACATCCGTATCGAGTCTACATTGCATCTTTTTGTTCGTGTTTATAAAACGCCGTGGATTCGTTCAGCTTGTCAGAGATTGAATTTGGCATGCGCTGAACTGGTTTGTTAGATAAACGTTCGTAAAGCTATTATTCAAACATGAACCGAAAGCGCATTCCTTTTAGCAAAAACTATGCTTACTCTTCCTCATCTTATTATGGTGTAGCTCGTTGACCAGAGTCTTCTTTACGATTTACGGTCTCGATGCAGGCCACCTTCCACGGCGCAGTTGCCTAGACGACTTCGATGAGCTCCCTTTGTTCGTTACAAAGTGCTGAAGTCATCATCGACAGTATGGGTACCCGAGGAAATGCTGACGAGACGGCTGAAAACAGGATGTTGACCCTGACTGTTATGCTAGACAGATTCGTTGTTGCAGCACCTAGGGTAATACAAACTACCATCATTGACAGGTTGAGTACCGATGTTCAAGCGGTTGACCAGAGCCATTGACGCAAACGAACATCATATTAAATGACAAGCTACACTAAACTGCCCATTTTTCATCAAAAGGGTAGGGATTGAAAATGGCCCAATAGCCCATGCCTAATTATAACATTCGGAAGGACGTGCACACATACAGGATTTGCCTTTTGTACAGGTATCCGCAATCAACGATTGCGGGCAGCTGATTGCCGCTGATTGAGGAATTTTCTTATCTGAGTGGATATCCACTCAGATGTCCCCGCCATTGCCGATTGTGCCCTTATGTGAGTGCTTGGCTAAAACATACAATTAGAAATATTTTCTACAACTGTTGTTTCATCATAAAGTATAATAAAAGTGTTATAGTATA